TCCCAATGGAAATTTAAGAAACTTTCAATAAAATCCATGGAGTAGACAGGTGCAGTGGTGCATGCCTATAATTGCAGGTGCTCAAAAGGCTGAGGCAGGTGAATCTCAAGTTCAAGGCAACTTAGCAATACCTTGTCTGAAAATAAAAATAGTAAGGACTGGACATGTAGCTTAGTGGTACACAGCAATTGCTTATCATGTGCAAGGCCATGGGTTCAGTTCCTTGTATCACAAAACAAAACAAAATTTAAAAATAAAATCTTAGAGCTGGAGGCAAGGTCACCTGAACATTCTGATTCCTAATACTAAATAGTCTGTATCTTTTATTTGTTTTTAAGTGCATTATAAAATGAATAGAAGGCTTCCTCATTTCCCATGTTTGTCTCATCTTAAAATCTTCATCCTGTTCTACTAAATGCACCCTGTTTCGAGTCTTGGGAACTATTTAATTATCATTTACTGTTGAGTTGTAATGACGTAGCTATCTAACCTCACTCCTGAGCAGCTTTGTTCTTGTGAGGACGGCCCTTCACTGATGAAGTTTCATAGTCAAGAGCGCTTTTGTCTTGCTGCAGAGGCTCCTTTCCCATGTTGGTTTGGTATTTCCCTCTTTCTATGTGCCTCTTGTTTCAGAGCTTCCAAGGCCTTGTGGATCTTAAATGAGGTTCATGTGATCATTGAAACTGTCAAATCTTTTAATTCAATAAATGACCTCTATTGAAGGCCCTCTACATTGTATAACTATGTTACACAAATTATCTGTTTTAATCCTCAGATCAAATGGGTGTTATTTCCAGTTTTTAAGTGAGGAGCATAAGCTAGCTGTCAAAAGAAAGCCTCTACTAAATGTGAAAGCCAGGCTTTGAAGTCTGATCTGTCTGACTTCTTGCCTTTTGTGATTGTGTAGAAATTGATTAAAAATTGTTTCTTGAAATTTCGACCATGCTATATAGGATGTGGTGTCTCCTGAGGCATTTTAGCTTGCTTTTAGATTTCTTTCAGTTGCCTAGGAAATGAGAGAAATGCTAGTCTTTCATCTTGTAAAGATGGTAATGAAGCTAGACCTTTGTTACTTGGGATACAGTATGATCTTTACTTACTAATCTTATTTAAAGGGGATTGGAAACTTGAGATGAAGGGTTGGTTTCAGTCATGTTTTATACAGTTTTGCCTTGATGATTCTGCATGATATTAGCAGGTCTGTGCATAAGGAACAGAGGAATAATTTCATTGTGAAAATATTTTTCATTTTAAAAACAAAGTCAAAAATTGTCAAGATGGGGACTGCCCCTTTGTAGTTTTACTTCGTGTTTTCTCACTCATTACTGCATATTTATCATGACTGTTAGACCTCAGTAGCTGCTTTGCTCTTATGTAACATGAAGTGGTTCTTTATGATTTTTACTTACAGAGCTTCCTGTTCGTATGTCCATGTGGTCTTTGTAATCCACTGCATCATGATAGTGGTTAAGTAATGCCTGGAGGTCAGGAATCCTACTGGGGTCAGCTGGTGATTAAGTCTCTCTTCTGTGGCTCTGGAGATATAAAGCCTGACCCCATGAACAAAGCCATCTGTTCTGTGCTTCATTGCCTCGGATATTCATACTTGATTTTATTTGCATTGATTTTTCCCTGGGTCTTCCCCAAGTGATGAGAGCTGTCAAGGCTAGTAT